CTGAGATGAGGTCTCGCTGCCCAGGCGGTTCTCGAACCCGCGGGCTCAGGCAATCCACTCACCTCAGCCTCCCAAAGGCGCGGGATTACAGGCTGAGCCACCGAGCCCAGATCAGAGTAGTTTTAAAACTAGTACATAGCAATATTGAGTGCAAAGTACAGAGTTCCCAAATACCCCGCTTCCAAATATCCACTGTCTGGCTCTTATTTCTAACAAAAGTTTTAAGTCTCAGACAGCTTTGGAAGTCTCAAGTTTCTCTTGGTCTAGAATACTCCTTTTTTAGAAAGCAAAACATAGTTATTCCTTCATGCCCTAAATCAAGTCTTACCTCTTTCATGAAATTTCTGATCTCCAACCCATTTACTAAATCTGTGTGTACCCCCTTTACCCATAAATACTTCATGTCCATCGGAGAATTAAAGGTAAATCAAATGACCAATATGTAAAATGTATTAAGATGTTCCAGGGCAACCCCCTCGGGTCCCCTCCCACTGTGGGAGCTTTTCTGTACTCTCAATAAATCCTACTTGGGGGGAAAAAAAAAGATATTCCAGACTCTCATCTCAAAAATAGTTCTTACAATCACTTTCTACTTTCAGGTTATAATTATTTGTGTACATTTATACTCCCACAGATCATACATTTCCTGTTACCAGGATTATTATTTTTACTTAACAGCTTTACTGAGAGATAATTCACACCCCATACAATGCACCCATGCAAAGCAAACAATTCAGTTGACTGTTAGTATATCCAGAGTTGTGCAACCATCAGCATGGTGTTTTCATCACCCCCCAAAGGAAACCATACCTGTTATTAGTCATTCCACATGTGGCCTACCTGCCTCCCTGAGCCCTAGGGAATCCCTAAACTACTTTCAGTCTCTACAGATTTGCCTATTCTGGACATTTCATATAAATGGAATTACACAATACATAGTCTTTGGTGATTGGTGATTGACTTTTCTCATTTGGCATAATGTTTTCAAGGTACGTCTATGTTGCAGTGTGTATTAGTACTTCAATACTTTTTACTGCCAAATCATATTGCTTTATATCACACATTTGTCAACTCATCAGCCAAGGGACATTTAGATTGTTTCCATTTTTTTGAGGTCACGATGCTTCATTCATCTGTTTCATTTCCAAGAGTAAGTCATGAGACCTTGCCTAAAGATATGCATTCGACAAATATTTATTTAGTGAAGTGTAGTGGTAATACCACTTGCTGTTTCCAGACTTCCATGGCTCCTTTTAAGTGAAATCGTCAGTTCTATTGTGTAAGTAGCCATGTTTCATAATCATAGTAGATAATCTGTAACTTGGTAGAAAAAGATGAGTCGAATCAGAGTCTCTTTCTTGGGAATTTAGAGATCAATGCCAGTTCGCAGTAAAGATACAAATGTAAAAGTTATTAAGTAATTTTTTAAAAAAGTCTCACTTCTTTGAGATGTTGGAAGCTATGGACCCTTTCCCAAGAAAAAAAATCACACATGTATAAACATACAATTTTAGTGGTGTTTAAGGTATTCCTGAAGCATCTGTGGTTCCCAGATTAAGAATCTCTGACTTTTAGAAAGGTCAGAGAGTGGCTGGTTGTGGTAGCTCTTGCTTGTAACCCCAGTACTTTGGGAAACCAAGGTAAGAGAATTGCTTGAGGCCAGGCGTTCAAGACCAGCCTAGGCAACACAGCAAGACCTCATCTACAAAAAACAAAGACAAACACAACAAAAAAACAGCTGGGTGTAATGGCATGCACCTGTAGTCCCAGCTACTCAGGAGGTTAAAGCAGGAGGACTGCTTGAGCCCAGGAGTTTGAGGCTGCAGTGAGCTGCGATTGTGTCACTGCACTTCAGCCTGAGTGACAGAATGAGACACTGACTCAAAAAAAAAAAAAAAGTCTAAGAGGATCACTGATATTAACATATTAACATTGAACTTAAAAAGACCAGGAAAATATCACTTAATTAAAAAAGACAGGTAGTAATGGAAAAGCAAAAACACATCTAAAAAGCAGGTAATTAGAGAAAAAGACAGGAGAGGTGACTTGGGAGAGAGAGGTGAGGAGTACAGTGTGGTTTCTAGAGGTGCCTTTGGCTCAAGTTCAAGTGCCACGGTAGCACGACAACACATCCCCTTTTGTGTGGTGACTGGAGTCCACCTCTGCTTCTTAAATCCAAACAACTCAACCAACATGATATGCCACATAATGGTTCATAAAATAGGTCTTAGTTTTCTTCTTTTTAGATAAAGGAGAGAAGGCCTGTCAATGACCCCTTGTGGGATATTCATATATTATCTGTCAAACCACAACACTTCGATGGTAAAAGTGGATGCTGTGAAAAGACGACAAAGAAGGCACAGCATGCATCAGCTGGTGTATCGTGGCCAACCTACACGGTGAAGGCAGGAGGGAAGGACGGAGGGACGGACGAAAGGAAGGAGAAAAGCAGTAAGAACCTGCTCGTGCTGATTACTTGTGTGCTTAGCAAATAAAACCCGTCCCTCCACAGTTACACTTGAAAATAAGACCCAGGAGAGGTAGCATGTACAGCAGCACAAATGAGTTTCAATTGTTCTAAGTTAGTGACATAAATATTGCTGCACTGTAAAAAGAAGGAGTGTGGGGAGGAATCAGGAGGGGAAAAGAGGATGAAAGAGTCTGAGAGTTCTCAAGGAAAATAATCCTGCTGGTTTTTAACTGTTGGACAAACAGGTCCTGCATGGAGACTCTGCATCACAGAGCAACACCCTGTTGTTAGCTACCTGTCCCGGCAATGAGGCGAGCTGGATGAGCTCTGGTTTAGTTCCGCACAAGCCTCAGCCATCCCTGCAGAGGCTTGCCTGCAGCCACTGGAGGACGGCAGACAGCAGCTGACGTCCAGGCCCAGCAGAGGGCTCCCCCGGTGGTCTCGTCACTCCAGCTGAGCTTGCAGTTAGAGAGGCAGAACACACCGACGTGGTCCCATGCTTCTAAAGCTCTGAGTCTCACTTTACTTATCTGTACATTTAGAATAAAAATAACTACCCCAAAGAGTGAACAGCATGTGGTGGGCATGTGGTGCTTTTTTTTCTTTTTTAAAGAGAGGAGGTCTCACCAAGTTGCCCAGACT